AAGGTGGGGTAGGTAATTTCGGAGAAACCAGCTCGAGTGTGCTGGAATTTGAAAATACACAACCGGAGAAAATCTGCCACTTCCTTACAGAGCCCCTCCTCCAACACACACGAGCGTGCACATGACCAATGAGGGCACGAGATAAGTTTGTGCACAGATGGAAGGCTGACAGGCAGGTAGGCCATCCAGTTATTTTAGCCGGGCCGGCTAAAATGATTGGTCGTGCTTTTTACAGTACAGTACATTTTTTTATGGATTTTTTGTCAAAGCACTTAAGATATTCATTGCTATCGGGATGTTAAGAGCATTCCATGGAATATAACAAAAAGTGTATCTCAAGCCGGTTTCTCAAACTTACCTACCCCACCTTTAAGGTAGCATGTATTTCAGCACTGTTGTGTCCGATTGGATTAGTTTTAGATGTGCTTAAAAGCAACTGAGTGTATTCAACTTTTAAGTATCAAACTATATAAAAAGTCCTGCAAAATATGAGAGCAGATTCTCAGAAGTGTGTCCAAAGCAGAAACGTGTCTTTTTTTTTTCAACCCTGCAAGAGTAGAGATGAGCCAATTTGTAGAGTAGTCAGGCTGTTGCTAAGAGGGAAAACTCTTCGTGTTGATCTCATGAAAGTCGATCTGCTCTGAGGCGCTTCCTGTAAAAGTTCTTTGATCCAAGCAGGACCAGGACTCTGTGTCCTGTCCAATTAACAATCCCCTGACATCCACACACTGGGGACACCAGCTGCTGGTGAGCGAGCAGCTGGAGCCTGCCCACTTTCTATTCTCTCATGTGCATAACCATAGTGAGGAGTTGTACTGGATAATCACAGTGCATAACAGTTGATGATGATTATGATGACACGTAATAAAAGTAATTTCATACACCTTCCACATTCTGTCCAACCACCCTCTGTCATTAAATAGTCAAGCTGTTTCTCTCTGTTCAGTCCAGGGGTTTCTAAATAATAGCAACGCTCAATATCTCAGTAATGGGAGCGTGGGCAGTCCCAGACCCTTTACTTGGAACATTGCCGTGTTCCATTAACTCTCTCATAAAGTCACCAATGCAGGAAACAAAGCTGATTTCCTCTCTTTCAAAAAAACAAAACAACTATGACTCATGCCACAGTCAATCCTCCCTGCACACTTTCTCTATCTATCTCTGCTTTCATTCCTCCCTCCAAATGTGACCTTAAAACACTCTCCCCACATCTCTATCAAACTAATCAAATGATTACAATGGAATAGGTTGCCATGTCCTGCTTCTCTGTTTATCTCCCTCTCATGATGACGCAGCAATGTCATGCAAATGTGTGTTTGCTCAGATAAATGCCATAGGAGCAATGACATTAGGCTCATCTCACATGAATCTCCCACCCCGGACACACAAGCACGCAGTTTGATTGGCTAGAGCTTGTACTGGCATATGATTTGATTGGCTGACGCCTCCGTCGAAGCTTCAAAGTTGAACATTGCTCAACTTTTGAAGCGAGCAACGCGAGCAAAGCGAAGTGACGGAACCACAATGCAGTTCGGCAAAGCGTGACGTCACCCCATTCAAAGTGAATGGGCAGAAGCGTTGAAGCTTCAACGCACGCCGCCGTGTGGATGGGCCGTCACTTTGAATGGGGTGAACTTCCTTTATAACCTCCTTTAACTTAGGAATCACTGGACCTCCCTTTACGAAAGGAAAGGAGAAAATACTGCCCCACAATGCCTTGCAGCCGCAGCATTTGCCGTCACACAACAGTCGGCCGTTCACGGAAACAACCGATTATGACCGAGAAATGATATCATGAAAGTTACGGTGCTTATTAAGCATTTTAAAACGTATGTGGTAACTTGCCAAAGTGCTTTGTTTTGAACGTTCATCAGTATTATAATCAAAAAGAGAAATATGAACGTTAGTTTTTTCTGAAATGATCAAATAAAGTCAACATTTCACAGTCTTTACTGAGCTGTGTGGGGTTTGTTCAACTTTTAAAAGATGTTTGAATGGTGATATACAGAGTGATAGATGTTAAGGACTAACGTTTATAATAAATACATTTGTATTGATTTTAAGATCTTTTCATACAATCATACGTATTGGGATCATTTGTATTAATGTGGACCGGAGGGAGAGGGTGACGAGCATAAGTTTCACTTTCCTTTTTTATTTCAATTCCAACTTTGGTCATGAAGAATATGTTTTCTCTGTTGTCCAAGTTCAAAACAACAGCATCAGCCTCTTGGTGCAGAGTCTCTAGATGAGTTTACAGTAGTCCCTCGTTCTTATTATACATCCATGTTGTAGTGAGAAACCGGCTCGAGATACACTTTTTGTTATATTCCATGGAATGCTCTTAACATCCCAATAGCAATGAATATCTTAAGTGCTTTGACAAAAAATCCATAAAAAAATGTCATCTGTGGAAGCCGTAATACTGTAAAAAGCACGACCAATCATTTTAGCCGGCCCGGCTAAAATAACTGGATGGCCTACCTGCCTGTCAGCCTTCCATCTGTGCACAAACTTATCTCGTGCCCTCATTGGTCATGTGCGCGCTCGTGTGTGTTGGAGGAGGGGCTCTGTAAGGAAGTGGCAGATTTTTTCCGGCTGTGTATTTTCAAATTCTAGCGATCTCGAGCTGGTTTCTCCAAAATTACCTACCCTACCTTTAATATCTAATAATAAAATTATAAAATGCAATAACGTGCTTTAACCAGTAGGTGTCCCTTTCTATCAGCTGTGCACCGTTATGGCGTAAATACAGCCTATCTACCAATTGGATCAAATATAAAAGTCAGCCGAATTTGTGTTGATACTGCAAGGAGACGTATTGTGTGAAAAGAAATGTAAGATGTTGTTTAATTGCTTATATATTTAAGATCGACGTCAAGTTTTCAGTTTTGGTGGCAGTTCCTGTTTGTCTAGAAGTGTTCTCATCAGGGCAATTCCAAGTATCCTGGATATTGGAACAGTCCTTCGGCGGGACTCGATGACGTAGTATCCTTGAAATAGTGGCTCTGGAGCAGCTTTCCTCGACATTGAGAAACACCCGGTGTGTTCCAGTGCGACTGTTGGCCAAGAAGCAGGAGACGTGAGGCGACACAACAGTCGTGTTCCGTCGGGACGTGTTCTTTGGTGTCAGTTTGGTGTGGAGGCCGCTTTATCCTTCGAAAAATCTCTCTCTCTTATTTATTTACTTCTCAGAGTTTCATAGTGTGCTTCTTTATTAAATGAGATTGCTCAAAAGATAAAAGAACATGTGACTTCTGTGTTTTAACTCTGTGAATCATAGTTGGCTCCTGAAATAACTGAAGCTTATTTAGGTATGGCATTAGTTACAGGTATTATATTATATCGCAGTGATGATCTGAATGTCCAATAAAAGATGAGCACAGTAACAGAAAGAGCACAGAGTGTTCCAGCACAGGATTCATGGGGTTTCATTTCATCCTCCAAAACAGAAGTTCAATTAAACATTATCCTTATTATTTGCCATACCAGAACTCGAGGATAAGACCAATTATAAAGCGCAGCATTCACCGTTTAAATTTCCAAGTTGCTTTGAAGGCTAGAAGGGTTTCTTGGATATTTTTAACATCATGGTTGCATAATCACCTTAGCAACAACAAGTAATTGCAACACACGAGGGATAAAAAATGTAATTTTCGACCAAAGCAAAGGACACATTTGTGATAGAGGTTATGAGTTAAATAACAGCCAAAATAAATATAATGAAATCCTTTCTCATGTTGTTGCATGTACGTATGGAAATGTGAGTACAGTTTTGTAATGTTCTGTTTGAATATAACAGAAGTTTCAGTCGTTAACAAGCATTTGAATCCCTAGAACATCACCTACAAGGTATTCATTAGCTTTCATACCATTCACATTCATCAAAATGTGTTTAAAAGACTTTGTTAATCAATCATTTATTTCGCCTTGTTTTGCTAATTAATATCCTAATGTAAAAAGTCCGAGCTCAACATTGTTAAACAGCTTCTCCTTTTTTGGAGCACTAAGCTGTTCCCTTTGTATTACATTTCTATATTTTGGTTCTCTAAATACCAAAGAAAGGCATCACTTGACAGTCACCTAAAGGGGATTTGTACTGCATACAATAAGATAGTAGACAGTGTTCATTAACATCTTGATAACTGCATAAAGGTAGGAGAGATATGAGCACATATCCAGGGCCGTCCCTCCCTACAGGCCGATCATGCAGGCTGCGTGGGGCCTCAACTGAGCCGAAAATGCGGCGCACCCATATGCGCTTATGCGGCGCAATTAGTGTGGTGCGGCACGGTTTCGCCGCTGCGAGGCTCCACTAGCACCCCCCGTCCCCCGTCCCCCCCATCGACGCTCGCGAAAAAGAGGGCCTCATCATATAACTTTGCGTGGGGCCTCATGTTGGCCAGGGACGGCCCTGCACATATATCCCATTGGTGTGAAAAGGTAGATCATTAGATAAAGGTGAGCATGAGAATCCAAATTGCAATCAAATCTAACTGCAGGATTTAAGGTATTGGCCACTGACTTTACACATGTACTTTTTAAGTTGAGGATGAGAAGTTCAGCACACAAATGATGTAGCATTAATACAAATGTTTTCAATCATTTGGGGGACAAATAGTGGTTAGTTAGTGCTAAACACTGTTCACAAGAGCTCATGTACTTTTATATTTGCACATATATAAATATATAAGGTTTGAATTTTGAATCTTTGCTTTTCTCAGAGTCTGAATCTTTTTAGAAATGTAACCTTGAGGGGCCATTCTTTTTTAGTGAATGTAATCATTCCCATTGTTTGTGGAAACACGTCTCACTGAAGAGTTAATTACCAGTGGAAGATTTGTGGTACTTTTTCCTCTTCAGGGTCATTGAACAGCAGTTCTCTGGCTCCATCTTGTGGCCAAATGGAGTAAGTGCCACTGAAAGTGAAGAGCGGTACTCTGTCTTGCCAGAATCTGGTTTTCCGCCAAGTTGAGTTACACGTCAGTAGGGAACCTGTACTGGTGACTGGACGTGTGCAGTGCGCGTCAGCCGGTTCCCGGATGCACCGAACAGAAACATGGAACGGGTAGTGGTGGAACTACCGATCAACAACGGTGAGATACATGACCAGCTCCACGTCAAACCGCCTTTATACCACTTATATTAACATCTCTTGAACGGCGTTTGGTGCTTCTCTCGATTCGTGCGCAAATGCTCCTCCTCCTCTGACGCGTGGTCCGGCATTGTACGTGCTGTAGCCTCTGTGTACACGGCTATCAGTGTTTTACAGGCTATTTGTTCCCTTTTCTGTGTGTACATTCGTGTAGCTGCAGATTACAGGTTGCTGGCACTTGTACACAGAGGAGCTCAGCCGTGAGAGAGCTGCTGTCATCTGTCAAACAGCAGTCCTGCAACTGAAACTGCTGTCACATTTACCTCTGCACCGAGAACACAGGCCATACTTACTCTCCAACATAACATCTATTAGTCAGCATTTTAAACTTTATTGTCATTGTACAGAGTACTTTAGCATCTGGTTTGTTGTATGGTAGTAATGAAGTTGTAAAATATTCCCCAGTTTGTATTAAAGACCGTAAGCTATGATTCAGGTGAATAAGAATCAAAGCACTACTAACATACGCCCAAGTATAGGACTTGACCTGTAATGTTAATAATAATAATAATAATAATAATAATAATAATAATAATAATAATAATAATAATAATAATAATAATAATGATAACACAATTATTATTATTATTATTATTATTATATAATTGTGTGTTTTAACTTACTTTTTAGGAACTAGACCCTTAATGTCAATAATGTACTATTTTCATTATTTCACTTTACTGTATTTCAAAGTATGACTTTATGCAGTATCTATTCCTAACTTCAGGGTTTTCCTTCGCCGGCACCTCCACAGCTCCACGCAAGCGCCAGGTTCGTTTTTCAGCTCGTCATGACATCATCCTTCTGCGAGAGGTCATCGCCCAGAACCCCTTCGCCTCAAAGGAGCCAGGTGACTCCTGTTTTTAAAAGAACAATCAACAATCAACAACTCTTTAGATGCAGAGAGCTGCAGTTCCTGCAAAACAAATGGGGATACAAACCATATTCATGTAAAACAATAATAGCAACTTTAAGGTTTATTATTACCTAAGTGTGTTCTTTGCTATTTTGTTAAACCATCCAACAATCACACAAGAAATCCATCACACAACAGGGACCAATCAATAGGAACATGTGATGAGCTACAAAGTGAATGGCCCTTTTCTTCCATACTACATATTCATACTTTTGTAAACTCATTCATTTCAATCAGGACGGATCTGGGCCCGTGTTGGTGAGATCATCACTGCAGCTCTACAAGATGAGAACTTTGAGGTGGACGCCAGGAGGTGCAGAGAGAGGACCATGCTGCTGCTGGACTACTACAAGAAGCAAGACTTCCCCAGTCTGCGCAGGTTGGTTCAGTCGCTAGGAGTAAACGTTAATGTTTCCTTAGTAAATATCTGCATGTGTGATGACTTGAAGATGTGAAACAAACTGAAGTTTAATGATTGTGTGCTTTTGGTATGCTCAGATTTGGAACAGAGAGGTTGTATGCTCAAAAGGAAGACCTGCTCCATGAGGTTTTGGAGCTGGAGGCGGAGAAGGGGCTTCTGGCCGGCGGGGAAAACACAAAGTACCAGGTGGGTTTGTTTGCTGAGAAGAGAAGTTAAATCGATGTGACACTACCAGAACAAGAGATGTATCTTTACAGAGGATGCTTCTAGAGCTTGTTTAGACGGGCACATCAACTTCATATGTTACACATCACACAGGTTTGAGCGGAAATCCCTTTATATTGCAGTATACAGCAGTAATTCTTAGTTACATAACATTTTCTCAGCCAAGGACAATTGAGCTCAATTATAATGATTTCAAAGACTGACAGGAATATTCAAAAGAGAGAATATTTCTTTAAAGTCCAGTGGTTCCAAACCTTTTAAGCTTGTAACCCCTTAAAATGAAGCAATGTCATTGTAAGACCATATTCACGTGGCATATGTAAGTAGTGAGCACTTTATCTGAATAATTGTAAGCGGCCATAAGAAACAAAAATATCCAGAATTCCACATAAGAAAATAGCTTGTTTAGAGAAAACCCTAAAGTATAATACAAGTATAGCACTTTTCTCTTATTTTCCTGTCTATTAATACACATTTGACCATTGATATTATTTTATGCCTCTCTGGGAACCAATGGTAGAGTCAATATTGTCTCAGATGATATATATTACACAACATGTTTTAGCTTGCTTCGCACCTTTTTATTTTAATCCATATAACTCACTCCACACATGGTTAGAGTCAGGATGCCCATTATCTGATCAACTAGAGTCAATGCAGCTTTTTTCTTTGATTATTTGTTATTTTCTGATACTGTAATTGGAACTAAGGTTTCACAAGAGTAGTAGGACATTGAAGTCAACGGATATTTGTTATGTTCTCTGTAACTACTTTACCACTTCCCTTTTCTTCCTCTTGGTGGCATTCAGTCACAATTTAACTCCAAATCTGACGATACAGCACTACCACTACCACTAATACTGCTGCTACAACAACTCTAGTATTGACATCACTATAAGAACGTATACGGCTACTGTTGGTAAAAGTTTCTGCTGGCGCTTATAATTCTACTTCTCAATGTTCTTAATGTTATCGATGTGATGTTTAATTTATTTTTAGAACGATGAACTAAGAAAGCGAGCCCTCGAAGAACTAACTCTACCTGAGCAGGACAAACCCAACATCACCATCACACAAACACACACTTCAGGTAAAAACTAATTCGGAAACCAAGACAGGACAGGACCCAAGTCAGGTAACATCATGTCTACAACAGTTAAAAAGCCTGTGCACACAAGTGTTTGTGTTTCCCATGTGTCCTTCAGTAATTTCTCCCTGCCAGCTTCATGGATGTTGTAGTTGTCTGGTCCCTTCAGAAATATGTGCATGTTTACATTATTACTGTCACAACAGAACCAGAAGAGGACCGCGAGGAGATGGCAGAGCTCTCAGCGGCGCCCACAGCCAAGCGGCCCTGCCAGTGCTGCTGCCAGACCTACTCTGAGATCCTCAGCTTCCTGGAGAAACGCTCAGAAGCCGAGCAGCGGCTACGAGAGGAGGAGCTTTCCCTGCGCCGGGAGGAGCTGGAGATTCAAAGGAGTACGATTTTTCGAAAATATTGTCGTATTATTTAAATTCAACACTGTCTTATGGCTTTCCTTTTAAATGTTTTTTTACTTTTAGAGTATCCATAACAAAAAGGTATTACTGGGTACTTTTGATCTAAAATTGGTTGCAGGTGTTTCAGATGAAGTAATAATGATATCAACTGTAACTAAAAGGGGTCAAAAATGTCCCGCCTTTTTTGAGTTGTCTTTCTTTTTTAGGAGGGAATTGTTACTAAACTAACACCAACAAAGAATATTTATTTAAATAATCTTTTATTTCATTTTTCAAAATCTGAGATATGGGCAGCTAAAGAAAATAGGAACCATTACACTTTAAGAAAGAACATCTCATATATCAATGACAGTGAAGTAATTCAGGAAAATACAATGTCCATTTAATAGGATAAAAGATTCTCTGAACTGGTATGCTGTCATAATTTTAAATGGCATTGAATCACAGATTTAATTTCCCTTTTTTTGTTCTTAGGTAAAATCAGTCTGGAGAGGGAGCGTCTGGGAGCTGAGAGAAAAGAGAGAGAACGGAGATTTGAGCTGGAGAGCCAGGAGCGGCAGGTCATCTTGGACCTGTTAAAAGAAAAGGTGCTGAAAAGCTGACCAACTGCATTTTAATGCCATCTTTTTAAAAGAAGCCGAAGCAATATTTGAAAAAACGATGGTTGATTGCTTAAAAGCGGAAGAAAACCTCGGAAAGGGAAGTGAAAACATCAATAATTGTAGGTTGTTAAATGCAGGTCGTTGTAAAATAACCAAATAAAATGGAGGGCAGTAATACAGGATTGGCTGATGACACAACAGCAAAACAAATGTTGTGAGTGTCTAGGCACTAACTGTACAGTAAGTGTGTTTGGTGCACAAAGTAGCAATCTGCAGACAGTGTTTCAAGCTGCAATATTTGCCAGCCTCACTGAGCTGACCCATATTGATACACACAAACTCCCTTTGTTTTCTTCCTCATGGCATAACCTGTTTAAAGAAATAGAGGTGCTGCCTAAGGAGTGGAATGCAGAAAGGTGTCGATCCGAATCGGTGAAGCCAAATCTGGCAGACGGGCAGGATCCCCGGGTTGTTGTTATGTTGTTTTGTTCACACTGTGATAGACAGCTTTTTGTGGTGCTGAATTGAGGAACAACTAAGGAAAGTTGTTTATTCCTGTAGTTGACAATGATGTTAACAGGATGCTCTATCTTTTGAAACCCTTTAGCATTTACTATATAAATGACTTTATATATGCTTCATTTAGCCACTACTTTTTTTTTTCAAATAGATTTTGGTTAAATTGAAGTCAAACTAAAGAAAATGTCTCTGACTGGGAATCTACCGCACATTGACATGAAGGCACTTTTATACTGCAATTAAAGCCAATAAATGGGCGTCCATATTCTATAGATTGTATAAAAACTATAAACGTTTTTTTTTAACTGATGTCAATAACTGTTATTTTTGCTATAAGTTAGCTTTGAGACTAATGTATGTCCTCAGTTGAATGTGTTACACCCAGTTAACTGTCATTAGATGCATTTGCAATATTACATAATCTACTTTTTATCACATGTGACTTTCTGTTTATTGTTCATATAAATGTTATTTTTCTTCCAAGTTCTCATAGCATAGCAGATGTTGTATACAAGGAAAGAATGTAAAGAAAAAGTTACTAATTTCTATTCTGAAAATAAATTAAAAACAAAGCTATGTTTGTGTGGATTCACAATTCTCAATAGCATCTACACTCATTTACATAATACAAAGTGTGATTGGAAATGTTTTGGTTGGCATTCCATCTTAGACACTTGCCATAGCATTTCATGCTAATTTAAAGTAGTTCCTTTACTCGATTCAAGAGGGCTGTATTTTATGTATTCCTCCACTATATTTATTTTTCAGATTTTACACACAAACATACAGTATTATCAGGTAATAGGATGCTTGTTGAAACTGTTGAAAGGGTGCAAAAAGTACACCTCAACTTACTGCCCACATTATATTTTTCCTTAATAATGTACCAATACTGTACATATTAACATTCAAATATATATAATAATACAAAAGGGAATATTGAACAATCTTTCTGATAATATCCAATCCAGTATTTCACAGTGTTATCACCACTTTTACTGATGTTACCTTTGGGAGTATACTACTTCTTTCTTACTTACTTTTTGGGTGTGTACACTATATTACCTAAACCAAATAATTGCAGTATTACACGCTTTAAATCACTAGCACACTATCTGGATACATTTAGGAAAATTAACTCACCAGGACCATATATTTTGGTCGTTGCCCTTTAATTTGAGGTCATACAAATCTCACACACTGATTGGTCAGAAATACATCTCTAGATTCTGTGTTGTTTCGCTCTGGATTCCGATTGGCTCTCTTCAAAGTCACTCCCTCATTTCTTCCACCCAATGAACGTGTGCTCGTGGCGTTTTTTCCCCTGCTGCCACCGCATTGCTACAAAGTTTACAGTATAGCAACAATTTAATGCTAGCAGCGGAGTTTCGAAGTTAATACACTGTAGCAGCGCTAGAGATAATTCGTGGTACATTTCAGTTCGTCTTCATGGTAACATAAACCGGAGTTTGTGTTCTGGAGACGATAAAAAGTCAGTGACCCGCATGGAAACACAGAGCCCAGCTTCCCATCTGCTGTAGGGGATTTTTGTGTAGTGCTGGTCGATGCGAAAGATAGTTGTTGATTTGCTAACACGAGCACGAGAGTTGCTCCAGCGTTACATGTGGGGCATGTGCGCTTTGTTGTTTTAGTTTATATACATTACAGCTTAACACAGTTTTAGCAAGGTCTATATTTCCTTACTTTAAAGTGCATCTGGTCGAAGTTTAACCAACCAATAGTTTAGGTTTTAGTGTGGAAACTGCTTTTCAGGTAAGCTAATTACGGACTAGTTTTACGGTTTTGGTGAAACGCAACCAATTACCACGTTGATTTCAACGCAATAGGCCTATTCCCATTAGACGTTTTGCTGGTCACAAGTCTTTGTTCCCTTACTCTCAAACCCCCAAGCTTTCGTACGGTTATAGGAAAATGAATGTTTCAAGAAGTGGGTACCGTGTCTTTTCTGCTAACTCCTCCACCGCCTGCATCGAGCTGGCCAAGAAGATCACCGAGTAAGTGACGTTTACCTTAAAGTAACAAAAGGATAATTGTATTTTCATGTCTGTAATGTTGAGGTTTGGCCTTTCTGTGTTACCTGCCGTGTCCCTGACAGTACTCCTGGGAGTCTAGCTGCAGGTGACCCGAGGCCAGTGGGTGTGTATTGCTTTGCATTTATTGCTGTTCAATTCACACACACACACACACACACACACACACACACACACACACACACACACAAGGAGTTGGATTCCCTTGATGGCCTATCTTGCTATTACAAGTAAATCATCTTGTTAATAATCTTGGAATGGACATGATCCAGGTTCAACAGATTAAATGTTGGCACAAACACATCAGCTTTCTCCTGGCATTGTTATGATTCTTTGTTTAAATCCTGAATCATTGTTTCCCTTAAAAGTGTCATGGGAGATTAAAACTAAAAACACAATGCACAGCATGAAGTTGAAGGATGTGTTGTTTTAGATCAGGGGTGTCAAACTCAAATACACAGTGGGCCAAAATAAAAAAATGGGTACTAGTCGAGGGCCGGACTGGTTCAATGTTTATTGCAGAACTTATTGAAATGAACTTATTGTACATATTAAACCTGGAACTAACAAAGCTTAAATGATTGCCTATAAAAACAACATTAAACATTAAATAATCAGTTGCATTCATTTCTTATGGCTCTAACTGCAGCTTCATTTCTTATGATTACATTTACAAACATCCATTGAAACTCAGTTTGCTGCTCTGTGACGCTAGTTCAAGCCAGATACTTGGCATCTCATCTTGGGTGCAAGTTCATCAATGTTTGGGGTCAGGCTCTGAGCTGAGGAACTCCTCAGGATTGAGTGAAGGTGTGCGTGCAATATACCGGCGGGCCAGATCTAATAGTAATTAGAAATTATCCTGCGGGCCGAAATTAAATCCACCAAGGGCCTGATTTGGCCCCTGGGCCTTGAGTTTGACACTTGTGTTTTAGATGATCCTAATGTGGGGTTTTGTCTTCTGGGTGTTGGCTTGGGAAGTTCAAAAGACCTGTCAATGAGAATCATTGTGATAAAAGGAGCCTATTTGTGCAATAAGTAAATAAACAATAACAATAAGATGTATATTTTTGTTGTCTTAATAAGGACTCTGAAACACAGCCCTGCAAACGCCAATTTCTTCTTGTGTTTTTTCCCAATAAAATCTGCAAGCAGCCATTTCTTTTCCCAAAACCTGTTAACTTTTTTGACAGCTGATTATAAGTTGCACTGCTCACACGAAAAGTTAGCTTTTAGCTTAGCTTTCTTAGCTTTTGCTGCTTTGCAACATTACAGAACATTATTATGGGTGATTATGTTGCCATTCTGGGGCCAAGTAGAGCTTCCCTGTTGATCAAAGGTTGAATAACAACATGAGCACACAGCAAACTAATGTTCTGAATCTACTCATGTAGTTGTGCATGTAGTGACTACACTGTGTGTAATATCCCCGAGAACTTAAGTCATTATTATTTGTAGGACCACATTTAAGTCCCTTGAAAATGACTAATATAAAGCTAGTTGTGACATTATTATTCTTGGACATGATTCTTTGTCTACTTAATTCTACCATAGCCACTCGATGAAGACATTTATTTGAATATTTGAACAAGTTTGAGGGATGTAAACAGGGCGAGGCTACACAGAAACGCCTGTCTTGTCTAACAGGATATAAATGAGTGAACTGGCAGGTACTTAGCCTTCCACTGTCCCCCCCCAAACCAAGCCCTTTTCATAGTTGGCATTGTTGAAGAACTGTTTTTTTTAATCAACACCATAATTGTCTAGTATATTTGGTGCCTGGGCTCGTTCAGAGTTCGACTTGATGCAACAGGATTTTTCTGCACTAAGAGTCAAAATATCAACAATACCAATGCTTTTTGTGGATGTTTGAACAAATGATCATGTTTACACTACTGAACCTCATTAAACCTTGACGTTTTATAGTCAATGGGATGCATTTTAGAAGTTGGGGAATGTACGCTTTGCAGGTCATAGCTTGCACACGCACCCAAAATATCCAACAACTACTTTTTATTTATTTATTAGTCTGTCTTTTATACTGAATATTTTTGTCTGGTATATTAAATGACACGTGTATTGCTTATAGTTCTAGTTGATGTGTTCAAATGTCTTGTTTTCCAAACCCCAAAAGAAAAAGGTAAAAAAAGAAACACAAAATCACATTTTAAAAGCTTGAACCAGAGAATGTTTGGTGCTTTTGCTGAAATAAATCTGATCAATTAATTAGCTTTTCAAAAAAATAGCTTTTCAGTGAATGTACTAATTCATCAATAGACTAATGATCCATCAAATGTCTTTAATATAAACGGATTATCAAAATGACCATTTAATTTTCTTAAACAAGTCGTTATGTGTGTTTAAAAACCTGCTGTTCGAAAACACAAATACAAAACATTAGTCTAGTACACACTAAATGCACACACTTCAATTAATGAAAACATAAAGGGTGTGTTTTTGTTTTAACACTTTGGCCCGTTTGTTTCTTCCCAGACGGTTGGGTGTAGAGTTGGGCAAGTCAGTGGTTTATCAAGGGTCAAACTCGGGTAAGGCTGATTTATTTCCTCTTCTCCATAATGCATGTCAGATTAATAACCTGTGGTTTAGACTTTGCTCTTGAACTTACATGATATGAACGATGTGAATTTTTTTTTTCATTGTTTGTTTTGTTTTCAGAGACCAAAGTGGAAGTGCAAGAGTCTGTACGTGGACAAGACATCTTTATCATTCAGACCATTCCCAGGTGAGACAAGATGGATACTTTAAGGTTCTATATTAACAGCCATATCATTATGTGTAATATTATGAACCCTCAGAGAAGTTTATGAAAACCTACTGAGGTTTTATTAAGCTTCTTTGAATAAAGTTCATGTTTAGCACTCTATCAATCTCGTTTCCAGAAGCATTAAGAAGTTGTTCAGCAAAAAGTTAGACATCAAACAACAGACTGAAAAAGTTAACAATGGGAATCTAGCAAGCTAAAGACTCACATATATTTCTTAGGACATGGTGAAGGCAAAATAATCTTAAATAAAAGTAAATATTGTCCAGAAACACGACTCTAAATCAGCATTTAGCGCTGTGTCAGTCTGAGTCTGATGGATGTGTAACAGGTCGGCAAGGGCAAATGTCTGCCACCAAGTAGCCAACGAAAATGCAGCTATAAAAGTATGGTTTATTAACGCACTGTTTTAAATGTACATGAACCTCCATCTGAATCCCCCTGTAGTTTTACATGGCATATGCATGAGTATCCTTTATATGACAATGACTGAAGGAGACTTAAATATGTTCTTAAAATTGTGATGCATTCACATAACGAATTCGCCATTGAAGTATATGCATTTGTCATATTAGGAAAATATCTGAAACAGGTTAAACAATGTCTAATTTATGTTCAGTTTCCCTGGTAAGTTTGTCTTTTTATTTCACATTTAAGAATCACGTAGCATACTTTTGCCTGGGAGGTGTAACGCCAAATGATGTTTAACTATGCAGCAAGTGAAGAAGAAACAA